CGAGGCCCCTGCGCCCGGGGGGGCCAGCACCGCGCCTCGGCTGCCCTGCCCTGCCCTGTCGCCCAGCGACCGAGGGGCCTAACGCGCAGGTGATCCTGCTTGATAATAACACAAATGGGTTTGAGCCATGGCTTGCACAGTGCGACCCCGCTTTGCGTGCAGGTTGCCTCCTTTCCGCGTACACGAGCGCAGCAGCCACTGTAGGAAGACAAGGTACGGGAGGGTATTTTAAGTTGTACTGTAAAATGTGTTCGGTTTTAGAGGATGAAATGTGCTTGTACAGATGAATAGCGAAGCAGCTAGGCTTGTAACCGAGTTCAGTGGTAGCTAGTGCATACGTCTCAAGTTGTACTGCCGAGTCCTTCTGGTTGTTCCCTTCGTTCTGGTTGTTCCCCTCATTCTGCTTTGCAGGAGGCACCGACTCAAACGATCGCTAACTCTGGTGAGCTAGTAATAAAATGTGGGTGCCCATTTAAATACAAGTTAACAGAGATCCCAAGGGGCAATTCCTTTTTACAACTGCCTTGGCTTCTCAGCTTTTCTCTGCTGTCGCCGAGAATGCTGACAACCATCCTGCTTCTTTAGGAAAGAGAGAAGAAAAGCACGTACAGCTTTGTCTGGTATGGCTTACTGACGTACACGAAGCCATGCTGTGTTCATTTTCCTTAGGAATTAACGCATGGAAAAGAGTTATAAGGAAACTTATGGAAGTCCAAGGAGGAAAACAGCTGTTCAGAGCTGTCTATCATTGTCATACTTACATTGCTAAAGGAAGAACAAAAAAGCCCAGTCAACTAATGAAGCGTGTGTGCTTTGGATTTTAGCACCGAAGAAGGATGAGTTGGGTTGGAGCAATTTCTCAACTCCATATGGATTCTATGAGGATATGAACTGTGAGGGCATACTGTAACATCTCCTGTGTCTTGTATGATCTCTGTCCTATGTGGTCGTGCAATTTCTTCAAAATATGTAGGAGCCCTGAAACATTCATCCCTCTGCCCAGCTGGACAGAAAGACCCCCATGCTTTCTAAAGGAAAAGAACACAGTCAACCTTCTTTCTTAAACCTTTCCTTAGGACAGTAGCTAGAAAAGTAACTTAGGTCTGTCTTGACCTTTTAACTCTCGAGAATGTAATTAGAAGAACATAAAATTTAGGAACTTCTTGACAATTTAATGATGTGTTAGTGAAGCTATTTACTCTTGATTAAGGACCCTGGAAAATTCACACATAAATTTGGTAGTTGCTATGATGGAGAATTAACTAATTGGTAGAGGTACCCAGAAATGTATTTTGACAAACTTTTTTTTTTGTTTTCAGATATGAAGCACTGTGCCCTGTGATACTTGTTCTGCTGGTTCTCACCATTGGAGGATGGCTGCCATACTCTGTGAAAATTGTTCTGGTCAGTACCACTACACCCAGGTCAACCAACCTCTTGAAATCAGCTGCTTGTTGCTCCTGATTATGCTCGGAAAAGTGTTCCTTGATTTCGTCATGTTGCAAGTTAAGCAAAAAAATGTAAAAGTTAGTTTTATGGGATATTTTTGCATTTCACTGGCACTTCTCGATTTCACACTGCTGATGAGTATATCTTTCACTTTCTATTTTGAGGACTTTGCGCTCTGGGGGATGCGATTTACAAAGTACCACATTTGCCTGTTCACTCAGATAATTTCTCTTACCTACGGTATTTTGCATTACCCGGTATGTCTTGTGGCTGGTCTGGATTATTACATGACTATAGCCCAAACCTCTCAATTTTCTAAAAGAGGTCAAAGATTACTTTATGTATTTGCTGTGCTTGTGATATGGATTTCAGGGTTTTTTTGCATTCTGAAAGTTCCCGCTATCTACGAAGAACTAGAAATTCAGAACCGTTTTTCTCCGTACCAGTGTCCTCTCTATGCCAGCATGCAGAGCTACTCGGTCTCGTGGGCCATGGTGCTGCTCATAGGCATGGCTCTCCTGGCCTGTCGGAAGGAAGTTCTAACCATGCTGCTGTCTGCCAGGGTAGTTTCCTTTGCCAGTCAGCCTGTTCTGGTGTTCTCCTACGTGTCCAACAGCGGCACTTGCTTTAAGTGGCAGCTCCTGACCAGACTCCTCATCTGTTTTCTTGGCACCTGGACACCTTTTGTTCTTCTTCAAATTATCATCTTGTTTCTCGGTGCTCGGATTCCAGCCTACATGGAGATGAACGTCCCCTGGCTGTACTTCATCAACAGCTTTCTCATTGCCGTAGCGTACTGGTGTCGATGTCACGATGTTGAATTGACAGAGGAGATGTGGTCTACAGATCCATTTGTCAGCTGGAAATTCTGCTTTGTGCCATTTAACAATGAAAACACAGAGCCAGCTGATAAGCCAGGCACAGTAATTGTAATCTGTTAATGAGCTGCTGACTGAAAAGACTGCAGATCAGTGCTGGGCAACAGAAGTGTGTACTCTGACGTTCTGTGACCATGTCCTTGCAGAGAATACAAGGAAAATCTCCAGCGTTACAACCCATGAAAAACAGCCCACATCCACCAATATTGTCACAAATACTGCACGAGAGCGTGGTATGCTGCACACTTCCACACCGGGTTCGCATGGGTAGCGAGCACCTGCCAGTTCAGGGAATTTAACTTGAAAGTACGGGTTTAAGAAAAGACCACTGCTTAAAGAAAAACCCAAGTTTTCAGTTTATTACTAGAATTTTACACTTGCTTTAAATGGCATGATCTCAGGTTTTGTAGGACAAAATGTAATATCTTCTTCGAAACTGGAGCCCGTTTAACATATATGTACACGTGTTAACCTGCTGTCAAAGGTTCAAACAGCTTCTCTGATTTTTTGAAGTGTATTCTCTTGTTAAAGTGTGACTTTTTGTCAGTTTGATTTCAGTTAAGGGTGGTTGTCTGTTTAAGAAGAAATAAATTGTTTCAGTTCATGTAAAGCTACAACTCCTATAGAAACATATAAGCTTTGTTTACATAGTACAAAACCAGTGCAAGATGTGCAACTTCCACAACTGCAGGAAAGGTGGCGATGTTTCATTCTTTCTTTGCTACTGCTCCTCTAATGTATATATGTACTTATTAAAAATTAAATCATTACAGTCAGAGCAATAAGCAACAAGGTTAGTTGCTATACATAAATACAGGCCCAAGGTTAAAGAATGGCTTAAATTAAAATAGTATTTATTTTGAAGCCAAAATTATTTCAAAATTAAAAGTTAAATTTGAAGTGGGGCTTCTTCAGTAGGGGAAGAACGTCAAGCTTCTAGCAAAAATACTCGCTTAATTTTCAAATTCTTACAGTTTTATGAAGGTCTTGATTTAATTTTGTAGAAGAAAAATAAATGATACACGACCAAAGCAGACAAATGGAAGTAGCATTTATTTCTGAAGCACTGAACTCACAATACAATGTTGTAATGAAATAGAAACTATGTAAGTAAAGGATGTGGTAGGTTGGTTAATCATTCACCCAGACCCACAGGGAACAATGATATCACACAAGAATACTCATTAAGAAAAATCTGCAGATAACAAAAGGTGCAATTACAAGCAAGTTTAAGCAGCATAGTATAAGGTGCTTTGTTTCAGCATTTGTATGATGAAATTACCCATTAACAGACAGATTAAAGAAATTTCACTTCTACAGATCATAACAAGTGAGAGAATCTAAAATTCATTCACATGCTAGTTGGCAATAGGAAAGTGCTTTTTAAAAAAAAATTATTCACAAAGATATTTTTACATAGTTCACTGTGTGCTCTTCAACTGTAAAATTTAATTTTTGGGTTATAATTTACATTATTATATATCAATTATAGACATAGATTTAATTGCAGAGTTTAATGCTACGTGGGCTAAAATTTCTTATAAAAGAATATTCTAGTATATCGCTCCATAAGAATACACAATCACATCTCAATCATATATTAATCTTACATTTCTGCAATATATCCAAGTCCAATTATCATTCTGATTTATTACTTCACCCCACCTAGTGCTTCTTTCACCCACAGTCTGTGGTAAATTTCTTTGAGGTTTCAGTGACATAAGCAAAAGGACATAAGCATTTTTAAGCAGTAGAAAACAGTTTGGGGGAGATCTGTTAAAAAGGCCATCAAAAGGACAGTAAATGATCAAAAACTGATTTTTAAAACAAGTGCAATAAGAGGAGGCAATGCTTAGCAACATAGTTTGAAGTGTTTGGCACCACAAATTATTTAATCCTCAATGCTGGAAAATGTATTTGGCGGAAATTCTATTTCTATGTTAGAAGTAGGAAAGCACATACAATGTTAACTTGAAAAACAACCTTAAGCAATCACTCCTTGCTCTCTCAAATTGTAATTGCTGTTGTTTAGTGCTTGAGATGCTACAGGATAAACCGTGTCGAAACAAATTTTTTTTTGACACGGCATTTCTTCAGGTTTTCTATAAACTGGACACCCACTGAACTGGGGTTGACAAAATATTTACAAAACTGAATTCCATTTAAAAACTGGCAAGTATCTCAAATATAGTAACGCACCAGGCATTTCAGAAGATCATGAAGTAACTAAACAGACTCAGCAGGCAAGGGAAAATTCCTAATTTAAAATTCACTTCACACCAGATGAAGGCAAAGGTATTTTCAAGAACGTCCATTTCAGATGCTTCTGTTTGTGTGGTTAGTCTCACCCTTCTGATTCATTAACATATACAGAACTGGAACTGCAAGAAGTTGGCTAAGGCTGCCAATTCATTTTATTTATCAGCGTGGTTCAGCTTCTCAACCCGTTATTAAAGTTTACACAACCCCATCTTATCCTGACATGGCAGAATTCTGGTCGTTGCTACAAGTGCTTCTAAAGCCATTTGAAGTTTTTACAATTTTATTTTTTACAGGGAAGCCACAACATGCAGCCAAAGCAAATATTAATGTACTAATGTTACATCACTGTATTACTATCAAATTCGTTCTTCCGTACTCTTTGGGGAAAAGTACCAAAGCGCATCAACCTTTCGGCTGTTGCTACACCCACCAGTAGGTAATAGTGGCACTACAGGTCCTCATGTAGCATCCAACTGTAGCGTCTGAGCCTGCTAAGTGACTATTTTAAAATACATCAGTAGTAGCTCACTTTGTAAGCCCACTTTTATCCTTGATTTTTTACGGAGGGAGATACCAGTTGTGAAGATCTTTATCCTATTACCCTCCTGACAACTAAGTCTGTTCCTCCGCGCATCTTCTTTTCTCTGGTGCTTCTGGGAAGTCCTAACGCTGAACCTTGAGCTCAGCCACACAGCCATAACCATAAACTCTGCAGACGAGGATCACAGCTGCACTGCCAGACAGAAGAGAGGAGAGAAGCTACGCTAGGAAGGTGGTAATACCTGAAATAATAACTACAGACAACCACTGCTGCATCTCCTCTGTACGTTACTTCTTGTGCTGTGCCAGCAACTAAGGGCCTTCTACCATTCAAATACTTCACAGTCTAATTCCTACAGGATTATTTGATCTTAATGGTAACAGCAGCTAAAGTGTTAACCCTTTCTGAGAAACTTCTGTGCTTTCCTCATATAAAAAATCCCTTAAAAATCAACATTGATTTTAATCAGATATTCTATGTGTGTTCAACTCTAAATAGAAGTATTTGGCACTCTTTAATAAAACCCTTCATTCTTCGCACGCATCTTTCCTGATCAGTACTGGTTTGCTAACAAAGACTATTTCAAAAGGAAAGCTGGGTGTGCAGAATACCTCGTTGTTCTTTCAAACATCGATTTTGCAAAAAGCTGCCAGAGGATGACAACAGGAGTCTTCCCACGGGTTGGCCGGAGCCGGACTTCACCCGCAAAGCAGATATGCCTTATGAATCAATGATTTTTGTGCTTCTAGCCTAATCCCGTAATCAGCAAGGATACCCTGACTTAGTACCTGTGAACAATACTGTAAGCCTTTCAACAACCCCACGTAACAATACGGTGCTTTTTACGCACAACTAAACTGCTCCTTAAGTGTTACTTTACGCATTGCACGTAAACGATATTTATGATCGCTGTTCTATGAGTGTACCATTGTGTTCAAATCATAATTCTAGATGAAAGAAAAATCTCTTCAGATCTCCTTTTTCTAGATCCTTACTGTACACAGTCATTTTGGATAATTCAGCAGGAAGCTAATACCTGCTGGAAGTTTACAATTTTTTAACTTGAAATCTGTTCGTAACACTTGACTCCCAGAACGGTGCTTTGGAAAAGTTAGATCAACGGTTACAAAAGCTAGACTATAAGCTTACTACATACCGTCAATTACAAGCATATTCGCATCTTTGAATTTTGTTTTTTCCTTCCGCTTAGCTGTAAGAGATCAGTAAGTAATACACACAACCTTCAAGTGAATGAGCAGGCGTGTGTAAATTTTAATGCAGAGGTTACACAAACCTACACAGCAGCCCAGGATGGGGGCCTTGAATACACGTGGAAGTGCTGACCATGAGACCCAGGGGAGAAACAGGACACAAAATGCTCCAGCCAACACAGCTGACACCCAACAGGGCAAAAAGCACATTTGGAAATCTAGATGGAGAAGGAAATGGCACGTGACAGAGCTCCTCCAAAGTTACAAAGACGGTAAAACCAAATCAGCCTGATCCATAGGGATTAGGGTACTGTGTGCTAACTGCTTTTGTATTCAATCTATGTCCCAGGCTCCGTCCACAGGGACAGGCTGTCTGCCAGCTCTTAGACTACTTTGGGACAGCTTTTTGAAAGAAAGTAGACAAGGCATCTACACAGCAGGCACTTATCTGTATCGTAATTACCATCTCTTTTTTAAATGTCACTATTTGCAAAGCCACCTGGTGGACATAACTACATAGAACCAATAGGGTCTAAATAAATTCTCATGACTAAAGGCAAATTCCTTTAAAATTAACTTACTTTAGGCTTAGCTTAAATGAACTAGGCATTAAATGAGTTTAAATTTCTTTCTCCTCACAGTACTTCCTACTCCTACTACCTACAGCTCACTGTGCAAGAGTGACTTAAAAACTAATTCACTATGAGCAATTATTAACCTTATTTTAAATTACGCATTTATAACTCTGTTCATACCTGTTCCA